GGGGGAGAAGAAAGAGTGGGAAACACAAAAATCTGAAGCAGACTCCAGGCTCTGAGCTGTCAGCACAGAGCCCAACGCAGAGCTCGAACCCACGAACCATGCGATATGACCTGAGTTGAAGTCAGAAGCTTAACCAACTGAGCCACCCAGGCACCCCAAGAACCTACATGAGTTTTTAAAAGAGGGAGGGAAATAATGAGATATAAATAAGGAGAGATGAATATAGATATAAACATTGTAATGAAAGGACTTGACTCAAGATGGGCCATGAGAGTTTGACTTGTATTGATTACAGATACGCATAGGAAGCTAACCCCAGCCCCTACAAAACCAAAATTGTAGGAAGGGTTCAGAGCCAGATACGGACATGAAATCCAATATGTATTAGGCCTTAGAGCACATCTCAATTCAGAGCCACATTTTAAGAATTCCATAGCCACCTGTGACTAGTGGCTAATCACTTTGGACAGGGCTGAGGAACAATAATGAATTATAAGCATGGAAGTAACTTGATAAATATGTATTTAGATACACAGATCTGAGCCTAGCATTATACATTTAAATTCTATTTTATAAATGGAATTATCTCACAACTCATGGGCCACAGAAAGAGTTTAGGCTTAAGCAGGAGCTGTTAAAGCTTCCTCTCTGACCTACTCACTCCCCAGCTTCATCATGTATAAATCATTTTAGATAGTAGGCTCAATTTCTAAGACAAAAGTAGTACTAGGCTATTTCTTAAAATGGCAAACTATTGACCCCACCGTTACACCCAATTGCCACTGTAAGTATCTGGGGTCAGAGAATCTTCACATCTTTATAATTTGAACAAGCTGTATTACTTTTTTCACTTAGTTTCTTTATCTGTGAAAAGAATATTTGAACAAGATATTTAACATACTGTCCACCTATGAGAGTCTATAATTTTGAGAAAAGGGTTTCATTTTTATAAGTTTTAAGCATGCTACCACCTTGTAAAAATTTTGTGTTCAGAAACTGTTATACCCTAACAGAAAAAGATAAAGTAACCAAAATACATATATACACATTTTTATTTAAACAAAACAAAACAGGGGCGCCTGGGTGGCGCAGTCGGTTGAGCGTCCGACTTCAGCCAGGTCACGATCTCGCGGTCCGTGAGTTCGAGCCCCGCGTCAGGCTCTGGGCTGATGGCTCAAAGCCTGGAGCCTGTTTCCAATTCTGTGTCTCCCTCTCTCTCTGCCCCTCCCCCGTTCATGCTCTATCTCTCTCTGTCCCAAAAATAAATAAACGTTGAAAAAAAAATTTTTTTAAACAAAACAAAACAAAACTTGTGATGAGCACTGGGTGCATGAATCACTAAATTCTACTCTTGAAACTAGTATTACACTGTATGTTAATTAAATGGAATTTAAATAAAAACTTGAAACTAAAAAAAAAAAAATCAGTTCATTATTTCTGTAAGACATTGAGCTCTTCAGATGAGAAGTTCCCACACTTGGCTGCCTCTGTCTACATTAATATTTAACTGAATTATAGGAACAATATTTAAAGAGAAATAGTAAACCCAAACCTATGAGGTAAAATTAATATCCCAATACTTAATACAGTAAATAATCAGATAGTGTTGTTAAGATCTATATCAAACAGAACAATCTAGTTTTGTGCTTACAAGACATACTTTAAAATCTAACAAATTATATTTTTAAGTATGTTTGAGAGTCCTAACAAGTATTAAGAAAATATAATTATCCATAATTTAGAGATGGAATAAAAAAGCAAAAATAAAGCAAATCAACTTAAGATACAAATTTTGCAAATAATGTAATTCTCAGAAAGTATTCATATAAAAATAATTTTGAGTTATTTCAAAGAGGAGTTCACTAAAGCCTACTTCTTAGCATAGGACCTATAAGAATAAATTCACCTCAGAAAACTAAGAGACAGGGATATTTCCTTAATAATTTTTAAAAATTTTCAGAATAACTGAGATAGATCTTTACATCTTTTATACAATGGTATCTGCTATATCCTGCCAAAAGGTCTTAGTTACTTTGTCCTTTAATATTTGTTATTTATTCTATTATAGGCATTACCAGACTTAGAATTTTTTTAAAAGAGAGATTTCTTTGTTTTTTTAAGTTTATTTATTTATTTTTTGAGAGAGAGAGAAAGTGAGCACAAGCAGGGGGGGAGCAGAGAGAGAGGGGGACAGAGGATTTGAAGTGGGCTCTGTGCTGACAGCAGAGAGCCCGATGTGAGTGAGGCTCGAACTCGTGAACTGTATCATGACCTGAGCCAAAGTCTGACAGTTAACCAACTGAGCCACCCAGGTGCCCCAGATTTAGAATTTTAAAGATGACAGTGACATAGTCCTTATCTTAACTGGCCTTCCAAAAACTTTAAAAAAGCCTCATAAGCTAAAATATCATTACCAAGATCATAGGCTTCACATAGTTCTTGATTATTTCTGTGCTTCATTTTATACTTTCCTACAGTTGTAGTGATATTGATTTTGATACATTGTTTGGGGTTAAGCTAATTTCCCCAAACCAAAATGGAAATGAAGGTAAAAGAGCTTTCAAACTGAAGATTATCAACCAAATCATTCTTGCCAGGGATGTAGGCCCTGTTCGATGCTTACTCACAAGGATAATCGAACTCAAGCTTCAGGTTTTGAGGCTGAGTTTTCCAGTTACAGTTAAATTTCCTTTCTGTGTTAATGAGAATTAAGTTCAAACCTATCACATGAGTTTTAATTTTCTGTGACCTGATGCTACCTTCCAAAATAGTGCAATCTTTTAACTTTGGTAATCTAGAATTAGTCCTCGACCATCCTGCAGTCTAATAACATAATATGGCTTGTTAGTGGTACTAAAGCTTATGCTAAGACCCCTTCTACTTTTTCATGGGATCAACAGTGCAACCCAATCATATCATAACCATCTTTCTTTTTTGACTTTTTGTATACTTAAGTTTTCCTTTTTTAGAGTATAATTAACTTAGTCCATCTTTCCAATTAACCATGATTATTATTCTACTTTAAAAGCATATATTACAGCCAAATTGGTCAGAGACCTTGTAAGTTAGTTCCTTTATCTGCAACATCCAATATCCAATATCAGAAGATCTAAACTTATCCATACTTTCTCCACCTAAGACACGGAATCAGCAACAACTTGGCTTTTTTACTGTAGAATATCATTAGAGACTAAAATCTGGATACTAAGAGAGTGCATATGAGTATAGATGGTAGGTAAAAATACTGCTGCATTTGCTATTGAGCCACTTTTCAAGAAAACTAATAGAAATACATATGTTCTTACTTTAAGGTTAAGTACCTAATTATTTTTCAAATTCAACATAATATATTATTATGCTACATTCTTATTTTAATATAAGGTTTCACTAACTACAAAGACACTCTACTCTTGACACTAATTGGTTAAAACAAGCAGAGGGTTAGAAATTCATGTAGGCAAAAAATGATTTAAAAAACATGTATAGACATCATCAGCCAGAGAAGGATTAGTCTAAAAAAACCAAGATAGAAACACAAATAGAAAGAGCTCTAATATGATATTGTAGCACAGTTTTGATTCAGAGGACTTTCATGTTGTCCACCAAAGGTAGATTCTGACATTTTTTACCTTATGCACATACATTATGGAATCTGCCTATCTTATGACCATTTATTATTAATGGTGAGACACAGAAAAAAAATTGTTTAACTTGTGATTCTGTTTGTTTAAAAAGGCAACAACAACAAAAAAATCTAGTTTCATAGGGTTGTTGTAAGACTCTGAGATAATGTACGAAAAGTACTTACACCAAAGTGACTGTCACAGGAAATACACCCTCCAAAACAGTTACTATTATTAGGGAAATATAATATCAGAATCAAGATGATTTGTATATGGTAGGCTTTTCTATTATTAATGCTTATTCAGTTTTGTAGGTCAAATATTGGAGCAATACTAAAAAAAAAAAACACTACGGTAATACCCAGTGTTCTGGACGATAAGCATTTACAAATCATGTAATTAGATGAATGAATAACACAAAGTTGTAATATTAGGCTTAAAAATGAAAGAAACAGAGCAGTCAAAGGAGTTTTTTAATTTACTCTTAAATTTAATGATGATAAGATAAAACGGAAAAAAAAGATGAAATAAAACAGCTGAAAGTAATGTTACAGACCTGAGGCCAAAATACTATCCAGGATACCATCTGCTTTTGTAAACAGATATAAAATAAAACAGATACAATACAGTTTCATTGGCCAGCGCACCCATTTGTCTCACAGTGTCTACAACTGCTTCTGAGCCACAACTGCAGAGCTGAGTAGTCCCACAGACACCATAAGGCCTGCTGCTAGAGACTGAATGTTTGTGTCCCCACTAATTCTCATCTTGCAAACCAATCCCCGGTGTCATGGTATTAAGAGGTGTGGAGCCTTTTAGAGGGTGTTTAGGGCTTGGGAACCCTCATGAAGGTCAGACTATGACCCTTTATAAAAGAAATCTAAGAACTCCCTTGACACTACTGCCATGGGAGGACACAGTGAAAAGATGGTTTATAAACCATGAAGCGAGTCCTCACCAAACAGCAAATCCGCCAGTGCCTGGATATTGGACTTGCCAGCCTCCCAAACCGTGAGATACAAATTTCCATTGTTTATAAGCCACCTGGTCTGTGGTATTCTGTTACAGCAGTCTAGACAAACTAAGACTACCACAAAGCCTATAAATATCTAGCATCTGGCCTTTTACCAGAAAACTTTGCCCTCCCAACTATGATGAACATTTTAGAATAAAAATATTTGCAGTATGTTGTTAAGTGCAAAAAGGAGAACCCAAAGCTATGGGAAGGATGATATCTCACGAGTTTTTTGTATGTGTGTCTGTATGTGTATGTGAGCTGACAAAAAACTTTATATATATAATTCAGTACTGATGGAGACACCAGAAGTAAATTTTTTTGGTGTTTTTCTGTATTTTCCAAAATTCTATAATGAATGCATATTAATTCTGATATCAGATTAAAATGTACTTTTTAATAAAAATGACAAAAGAGTGGAGAGATATTTCTCTGTTACAGCAGAGAGAGAATTTTATCTTTGTAGCAAAATTTTTACAGAAAGGTAGATAGAAAACTATTTTAGGATTTGTGGGTCATATGGTCTGTCACAACTCAACCTTGTCATTATGGTTTGAAATCACTCATAGACTAAGTGAATCAACGTGACTACCTTCCAATAAAACTTTATTTACAAACATGAAATTTGAATTTCATAAAATTATACATCACAAAATATTCTTCTTTTATTCTGGTCATTTAAAAATGTAAAAACTATCCTCTACTTGTGGGCCACCCAAAACTAGAATTGAGATATACTGTGGCTTAGATGAAACAAATGTAGTTATTAGAGGAGTCTAAATTTGTTCCATATGAATTTAAAATTGTAGTACAATTCCATTAAGAATTTTAGCATTTGCCCTCAATGTCTCTCACTTCATTTTTTTACTCTTGTGGAGAAATCTGCAATGATGATATTTTTTATTTTCTGCCTACTATTTTTCTGAGTGAAGGATGTTATTACGAGTGTTTAATCTATTAGCATCAATGTATAACAGTGTCCTTGTGTAACAGATAAAATGCTTTGCCACCTAAATCTGTAACAAAATAATTCACACTCCACTGTATTTTAGACGTGTGAGACCTGAAGTCCACTTTTCTTATTCTGACATGACGGTTATGCACTGATATTAAACAAAAAGCTAGACTTAAAATACCTGTGATACGTAAAACACTATCAAGTCACCACAGGCCGTGATCTGTAGTGCAACAGAGCAGCATGCAAAGTGTGATGAGAACATGACAAACATTCTCTGTTGCACCTACTCAACTCTGCTGCTGTGACGCAAAAGCAACCACCAGTAGTATGTACAGGAATGAGCACAGGGGTTGTTCCAACAAAAGTATTTATGGACACTGACATTTAATTTCATATCATTTTTATATGTCATATTTTATTTTTCTTTTGCTTACTTTCAACCATTTAAAGACAGAAAAACTGGCCTTGGCGCCTAGCCACACAGACAGGTATTAGTAAGTTTGCTAATCCTTGTACTAGAGAAAAGAACTAGGGCCACCAAAGACCAGGTGTAGGAGAGTAGAATTAGGGTTTTAAGGTTAACACGGGGATTATTACTCATATTTTACTGGTCCTTAAAAATAAAAACAGCTACTTTGGGAGGTAGTGTGTGCATTTCATAGAAAATACGGAGCTCAAGCTATATGGCTACATGGTAGAAATGATGAAAAAAGCATTTGTGAATTGAGATGATAAAATCTGCTCCTTCCAGATACTGCTTTCACAAATAATTTTTACCTATAATTTACCTCACTATCAACTCTAGGTTAATGTTGGTAGTTTCAAAGGAGACAGAGATAGAAAGAATTAGCAGAGGCGGAGGGAGGGAAAGATCTAATATATAATACATAATAGGTGTGGTTTGTATGAGAAACGCTGCACAAAGTCAATCAGCCAACCCATACTAAAAGAAAACACCTTGGACTGACATAAAAAGATGGGCAAATAAATGTACATGGGTATGTTTTAAAATAAAATTTTAAAATGTAAGTATGTGTTCATTTTTGAAAATAATGATTTCTGGCTTTCTGATTAACTGACCAACTACTGATCCCAATTACATAGAAGGTTTCCACTAAATACATTTTAAATCGTCATCACATTTTTTTTTTTTACCTCATAAAGTGTGTTGTATGTGGTGACAGTCACAGTGTTTGTATGCAACATCAGTCTTTCTCCAAGAAGAGTGAAAAGACTATGAGTATGCATAATTTCCACTTTTCTCCTGGAGAAAAAGGGGGAAAGAAAACAAAACACTATGAAATACATTTGATTACCTAATCACATGACTTTGGGTTTAGAAAGTACAATCTATTAAACAGATACAAAATCATACAAGTAATTACTTTTACTAACTTCCATCTGCAGTAAAATAACATTCATAACACAGCTATCTTCTAAAGTTCCAAAAACACTATTTAAACACTCCTCATATAAAATGTGAAATATACAAATTATAAATATTATATAAATGTTGACAGTTATTATTTTCAAATTTTTAATGAACTATTTAGGAGTTATTTTTATTAAGTTTAAAACTATTAGTTTCCACTAATACAGAGACCACAAAATTTTTAAATCCTTTCTGTCTAAATTTAAAGTCTATACATGTTTGTTTATTTATTTATTTATTTTGAGAGAGAGAGAGAGGGAGGGACAGAGACAGAGAGAAAGAGAATCCAGAGCAGGCTCTTCACTGTTAGCACAGAGCTCGATGCAGGGCTCAAACTCATGAACCATGAGCAGACCTGAGTAGAAATCAAGAGCCGGATGCTTAGCTCATTATTGCTTGTATTTGTGGTCTGCCATTGGATTTAAAACAGAGAGAGAGAGAGAGAGAGAAACACACACAAAAAAACTTTCTTAATTTCTTACTATTGGCTCAGTTAACTGTCCTCCCCACACCAAATCCATAAATAGAATAGAAGGCTGTACTCAGGGTTTCCTACAACATTTAGTTCTATCTCAGGGAATTGCTATGAGCCTCTCACTTGTGTCACTGCCTTCGAATTCAAGATCTGGATCCTCTTGGCTCTCAACCCAAGGCATTTCATTTCTTACCTTGATTTGCTATTGTTCCCTATTCAGATCTGGCAACACTGATATAAATTGGGTATTCACCAATTCTTATTCCTTTCTTCCTGAGAGCACAGGTATACTATCAATTCCAGCCTCTTTTACACTCAGGTGTGACCATTTAACTGAGTTTTAGCCAGTGGAATGTGAGCAGGAAAGTCATGAACCATTTTCAGGCCTGGCCCACAGAAAAGCACTCATGCACGTCTTCCATGCTCTGTCTCCAAGGCAGAAACACAGGAGCCACATGACGAAGACAGGGAGGACAAGATGGAAGCAGCAGCCCAGGTCTCTAAATCACAGCTTGCAAGAAAGCCACCTACTGTGGAACACCCATTTGGATTTTCAATGAATAAGAAACTACTAGTTTGATAAGCAGCTAAAATTGTGTCTGTCTGCTGCAGCAGCCATTGTTACTTTAATTAATACAGAAATCAAATAATGAACCATTTATCTGGGTACCACTCACCTGGAAATCCTCTCTTCTAACATCAGCCTCCAAGCTCCACACTGTACAACAAAAGACACAGGGCAGCTGTTTCCCCCCACCTAATTCTCCTCAGTCCAGGGAGGGAAACAGCAAAATAACTGAAACCCAAGAGCTTAGGCACATGTTTGTCTTGTGGCTGTGTTTGCGAAACACTTAAACACGACTGAAAAAAGGTCAACTGGTCATTAAAAATTTTTTAAAAATCAGGACTAATGGATATTATGGGATTATAGAGGGGAAGGCTTTAAGTATTTTCCAATTCAGGCGACACCCAAGGCAAGGATGACTTAAACTTTTTTGCTCCCTAATCAAGAAAGAACAAATGCCAAAGTGTTTTCCTTTATATATCTCTCTGATACATGAAGCTGGTAAAAGTTATCCAAATTAGGCTACCTGGAATAGCCTAATTAGGAATTTACAATAATCTCTTACCTGCACCAGTATAATTTCAGCTACTAAAGAAATTCATGCCCTTCTGATTATCTTCTATAATGTAAATTTCTATAGAGCAGCTATATTCTAGCCTTTTGTGGGGGAATTGAAGAATCCTCCGTATATACCAGAGAAGAGATGGGTCAGCTTCCTCCTGCAGGTTGCTTTAAAACAATGTTTATCAGTAATTTTTGCTGCACAGCACTGAAGAGACAGCCAAAAATGCCATCCATTATCTCAGGCAGAGTGTGGGTGAGCTATACTCCCCATGATCCCCACGTGACTTTGTTTCCCACAGAATCCCTAATGAAAGACCCAACTCAATGCATTCTGCTCAAAAAGACTTCAATAGGGCATAGACTAGAGAAAGTAAAATTTTGAACCTTAAGACCTAAACAGACTTCAGGCTTTAGTGCCTATTTGCTTTACCCTTTGAATTTTATAGGATTTCTGTCCATTTGGATTAAGAATGTAATCTTTTTTTTAAAAAAAAAAAAAGAGTAACCTTTTAATGTCATACAAATTATACATTTATTAGCTTACTAACATCCCAATGAAAATAAAATCCAATTTTCTTCTTCACAAAATAAACAAGCCTTTTTTTTTTTTTGGATAGTCAAAGAATACTTCTTGTAACAAACTCAGACAGTATGTTGAAACAAGACAAAGGTAAAAGAAACCCATACTTTCCATAACTCAGAGAAAATCATTATAAAGTGTCAGTTTATGTTCTTCTAGATTAATGACTATGCATATAAATATGGTGATAAATAAGTATAGATGATATCAATATAATGAAACTAATTCTGTATAAGGTAATTTATACTTTTTTTCCTGTTATCCTGTCTTGAATTTTCGGTCATTAAATATAATAAGTATGCAGCACATTACATCCATTGATGACTGTTGACATTGATGCTATTTCCAATTTTTTTTCTACCACGAACAAAACTTTTCCCTTTTAGGTAAATCTTTGGGCATATATCCATGACTATTTACTTAGAATAAATTCTTGTAACTGAAATGACGGGTGTTAAAAGCTTTTATATTTAATTTTATGAGACTCTCTGCAATTTACCATCAAAGTGGTACTTTGTACCATCAAAGTGTAACTTGTACCATCAAAGTGTAAACGCATTTTACCAGCAGCTTCTCTCACCAACATGAACACAAAATTCATGTAAGTATATAATTTAGTAATTATTTGAAAACCTTATAGAGTCACGCAATTATCATCAATTTCCAGTTCCAACATTTTCATCACCCCAAAAAATTCTCTTGTGCCTTGTAGTCAATCCCCACTCCCATCACTAGCCCAATATAATAATCACTAACTGCATTCTGGAGATTTCATATGAATGAAAACGTGCTCTTCTCCATCAGGCCTCTTCCATTTAGCATAATGATTTTTAGGACTCATTAATGTCATAGTGTGCATCAGTAGTTTGTTTCCTTTTAATTGTGCATTGGTATTCCATTGTATGGACATATGATACTTTGTTTATCCATTCACTAATTAATGCAATTTTGGATTATTTCCAGTTTTGAACTGTTCTGGATAATGGTATTAAGAACATCTATGCACAAGTCCAGTTGTGGACATATGCCGTCATTTCTCCCGAGTAGGTACGCAAGCATGGAAATGCCAGGGTATGTGGTAAGTTGTTACATTTTTTAAGAAATTAGAAAACTCTTCTGGAACATGGCTAGAGCATTTTACATTCCCATCAGCAATGCATGAGAATTCAGTTAGTTGTTATATGCTCTGGTTATATGTTGTATGTTGTGGATTTATACAAATCAAACTATTTTCTATTTTGCTGTGAGATTTCTTTGACCTAGGGGTTCTTACTATCAAGCAATTTACCAAAGCTCTTTCTGCTGTTGATTTCTTACTTAATTTTGTTGTGGTCAAAGAAAACATGTTGTTTGATCTCAATTCTTTTAAATTTACTGAAACTTGTTTTATGTTTTATAGCCTAGCCCATTATATATTCTACACTTAAAACAATTTGCTGACTGTTCTATGAATGTCAGTATACTGTTTAATATGATCTTGAATAGGGCTGGTGAAAACAGGTTTACATTAACTTGTAGCTATTGAAGGGGAATGCTTCTAATATTTTACTACTAAACAGGACGATGGTTACTTTCAAGTAAACAGGCCTTATCAGGTTAAAGAAATCATTTTCTATTCCTGCTTTCCTAGGAATTTTGATGATGAATGGATACTGAATTTTACCAAAATTGTTTGTATCCATTTGCGTAATTACATAGCTATTCTTCAATGTGTTAATAAGGAGATTATATTAAAGGATATTCTGATGTTAAACTATCCTTACATTCAGCATAAAATTAAAAACCTAGGGGGGGGAAAGGCAAAACACTTTATTTTTAATTTTTAAAAAATGTTTTATTTATCCTTGAGAGAGAGACAGACAGAGCATGAGCGAGGGAGGGGCAGAGCTAGAGAGGGACACAGAATCCAAAGCAGGCTCCAGGCTCCGAGCTGTCAGCACAAAGCCTGACGTGGGGCTCAAACTCACAAGACGCGAGATCATGACCTGAGCCGAAGTCGGACGCTCAACCGACTGAGCCACCCAGGTGCCCCATCACCTTTCTTTTTTTCATATAAATATTTATGACTATCAGTTGCCTCCAATACTACTTAGGCCAACTCTCAGAAGTGTAAATACACAAAATTCTCAGTTTTGATTCTAAACACTTTATAATGTGTACAGTAATTTCTTGTTATGAGTTATTTACAATATGTACATTTCCATTGTATTAGTTTGATTTTTATCAGTGATTTCTTAATTGAATTGTGGGTGACAAGTCATCTTTATGACAATTTATTTCCATTTTGGACAACTTTATGACTTCCACTGACAAGTTTTATATTTTTGTGTGTGTTTGAGAATAATGAATATGCTAATCAAGCATATTTTTAGTTTTCAGTTTTAGTTTTACTTTTAGTTTAGTTTAGGTTTAGTTTTGTTTGTAGATCTTTTATATCCTTGGTTAAATTCATTCCTGGGTATTTTATTCTATGAAAACTTTCATTCTTTTTCCATCCCTTAACCTCCTTTCTTATTTGTCATCTTTGTCTCTTGATGCTACATTCTGGGTAATTTCTTCATTGCTATCTTTCAGCTCACCAATTCTTTCTTAAGTTTTATCTCATCTGTTTAACATGTCCATGGAGCTAATTTTAATTACTACCTTTT